CAAGCCTACTTTAGGGATCGATACAAGAAAATTGGTCCGTCCATGGCCGATAACAACATAGTGTTTGGCAACGTAGTGACAAAGTACATGGAAGATAAAATCAAAAAGGCACGGAGACATAGAGTTGTTGCTCAAGGCACACAAGTGCATCGGTATGAAATAATGTGTGTTGATAGGAGCAGGCGTGGTATCTATCGCAAGCAAGCCGTGCAGGAATGTGTCTTGAAGGCGGATGGTGGATGTACCTGCAGTTGTATGAAGCCGAAGCTTCATCACCTTCCTTGCTCACACGTTCTTGCTGCTGCCGGTGATTGTGGCATATCTCCCAATGTGTACGTCTCAAATTATTTCAGGAAAGAAGCAATCTTTCATACATGGAGTGAGGAGATATATGGGTTCGGGATCTCAGGATCTTACACAACGCTGAGTGCCCAAGTTTTTTATATTCCAGATCCATCTAAGTTTAGGGTGAAAAAGGGTCGACGCCAAACTAGACGCATCAGAAATGATATGGATGAGTCAGAAGCAGGTGGGAGGACTTTACGCTGCAGCAAGTGTGATCTGCGCGGCCATACTTACAAGACATGCCCGAAGAATGCAGAAGTTCCAAGCGGCGCAGATGCTAGTCCATCTGGACAGGCAAGTGATGGTAGGCGACCACCTGGTGAAGGAACAACAAGCAGGCGCGCAAGGCCAAGGCGTCGTCGCGCAGCAGGCGATTCCATGGTGTAACAATGCTTTCGATTTAGGAAATAAAATGATGTAATGAGTGTTCGGACTAAATACTTCTATCGTGTAATTTCAATTCAATCTTGTTGTAATGAGTACCTCCGACTATTGTTGTACTAGTAGTATTGCGAACTATTCGGTGTTGTATCATAATGTTATCGTGATGAGTGTTCGGACTAAACACTTTTGTTTGTTTGTACTCTTGTTTAATATGTGTTAGTAATTCGCTTATGAACATTTATTACTTATGTTGAACTAATTATTTATATGTTTCTGATCAACCTATTTGATGCAGGTATGGCGTACGACACACCGGCGCTGTTGAACCGTGGGATTGACAGGAACCACCGCTCGTTCCTGTCAGCAGTCGAGGGTGCACAGCTCGGCACCTTCCGTCCACGCACGTCGCGCGAGTGGTTGCGTGTCGACCCCCGTCACGTTCCTTGGTACGCGTATGTTCACATTTCAACTCAACTTTGCTTTGTTTTATACTTATGTTTGAAGTTTGCTCTATACAGGTTGCGTGCGGCAGGCCTTCTACCACTTTGTAGGCTTGTTGAGGCGGCGGCGGACGACCGTGACCCAGCGAAGCGGTGGGATGCAGACCGGTCACTCCTTGCCGCTCTTGTAGACCGCTGGAGACCTGAGACGCACACGTTCCACCTTCCCTGTGGGGAGATGGCTCCGACACTGCAGGACGTGTCGTACCTGCTCGGGCTACCGCTGGCGGGAGCACCAGTTGGTCCCGTCGACGGTGTTTTTGGGTGGAAGGAGGATATCACTGCGCGCTTCGAGCAGGTGATGCGCCTTCCACACCTAGGACCGACCACCACCCTTCCTCCGTACTCTACAGTCGGGCCTAGCAAGGCTTGGTTGCTCCAGTTCACTGTAAGTAAATAAGTTGTTATTATCATACGTGCTTATTTGCGACCGGATCAGTGTTTTGTACTAACATTTCATTCTTAACTGTAGGCGGACCTTCTGCACCCTGACGCTGATGATTACTCGGTCCGACGCTCCCTTGAGGCGTACCTGTTGTGGTTGTTCGGGTGGGTGATGTTCACTAGCACCCACGGGCACGCTGTGGACTTCCGGCTGGTCCACTACGCACGGTCCATCGCGGATGCTCAGCCACAGGACGTGCCGCAGTGGAGCTGGGGTTCTGCCGTGCTAGCAGCCACGTACCGTGCCCTCTGTGAGGCGTGCACGAAGACTGACGCGGGAGCGATCATCGCTGGCTGTCCTATGTTGCTTCAGCTTTGGGCAGCCGAGAGGTTTGCCATAGGGCGACCAGTGGTGGACAGCGCACCCTACGGGGTTGGTCGCAGCGCGCAGTGGCCAGAGGACGGTCCCACGATGGGGACTTACTGGTGTCGACGTGGGGTTAGTGCAACTTCGCTGCGTTATAAGTTTATCAGTCCTCTTCTTTTTTTTCCTTCACATAACATGTCTAATTCCGATCATGTTTATTGCAGCGTCGTTACGCTCACGTCCAGGTGAGACGTGGTTACCCGGACTTCGTGTTCGAGTTTGACCGTCTCCAGCCGAGCGACGTCATCTAGGAGCCGTACACAGAAGAGGCCGTCGCTGCGAGAGCACCGCTAGGACTTTCGTCCTTGTGCACACGCGACCAGGCTTACTGGCTCACCATCCTGCCGATGGTGTTCGACATTTTCGTTGAGCCTCACTGGCCGCAGCGTGTGATGAGACAGTTCGGACTTAGGCAGGTGTTTCCCGGCAACGTGCAGCCGACCGTCCCCCCTGCCGACCACTCGTGAGTTCGGATTGTTCATTTCTAAATTTTTATGATAATTACATCATCGAGCCATACAATTTACCTCTCTTCACAGGTTGACTCGACGGGGACAGCTAGCAGGCGCACTTTGGGCTCCACGTGTACAGCAGTACGTTGACGACTGGGTGTTAGCTACAGAGGAGGTGATCAACGAGCTCTTCCCACACACGGAGGAGAACTACCGTGACTACCTTCGCTGGTACCTTCCTCGCACTCGTGCGCGTGTGACCTTCACTCCAGACGCCCCAGAGCCGCACGTTGCCGCTGTCACGGACGCGTATCCCACGCACCGTGACCGAGACTACTTCGTGGCGGTACGTCCAATTTGTATTACTTCCAACAATTATGTCATTTATCTTGCATAATATAGGACAACTACTGAATTTTTTATTTCCATCTTGCATAGGCTGATGCGGCACGGGATATCAGTGCCGATATCACCGCAGTCCAGGTGAGGTTGAACAGAGGTTTGCACTTGACTGACGTTGAGCAGAGGTCGACCTTCGACCGGATGCAGGAGAAGATGCGTGCGGTCATGCGCGTCTTCTCCTGTCGCAGCGCCGTGGACGTCGTACCTCCAGCTGGTCCGGTACACCCACGGCCTCGCGGTCCTACCGTCGGAGCAGGACCTCGTTTGTCTTCGAGCGCCCCTAGCTTCGGAGCAGTGCGACCTACAGCACCGGTTTCGCACGGTACAGTTCAGCCCAGATATTAGTTCATTTTTGTTTCAGCTTTTGCACGAATGTGTCACCATGTTTTAACTGCACGTTTCCTCATCGCAGGACCTCGTATGCCTTCGAGCGCGTTCGCAGGCACGACCGGCGCTTCCGCGAGCTCCGCAGGGGCGTTCGCCACCTCTTCAGGCGCGTTCGCCAGCTCTTCCTCTCACGGAGCGTCGATCCCTCGCCCACACGGTACTTTACTTTTTATTAATACTGTTAAATACCTATACGAAACTGATGGTCCTTGTCCAGCAGGATTTGCAGCCGGGATCTTCGGTACTGGGGCCTCTTCGTCTCACGCCGGTAGGACTGGTCCTACTAGCCAGTTCTACGACGATGACTTGCACGGTGCAGACCACCAGGACGTACTAGGCTCCTCTCAGCTTGGAGGAGCTCCAGAGGCGCACACTCAGGAGCAGCCAGAGGTCACACCTGTACAGGCAGGACGGGTTGGCCGTGCCGTACCCCCGGACCGACTCACGTACTCCCAGGGGCACATTAGGGCGCAGGGTAGGAGGGACAGGGGTAAGAGGCCTCGTCAGTAGTGTTCTACCTCTTCAGTCCTTATGTGACCGTTTCTTTTGGCTTACAAACTTGTAAAGCAGTACTACTTTTGCTATTACTACTGCAGTACTACTTGTGTTTGTCTCGTCTACGTAGTTCTTTTCATTCGTATGGTGCTTGAACAACTTATGCTCACAACAACACACTTTCGGCGCTTCACGGTAGTGCCATATCCAGTAGCGCGCACAGTCCACAACAGCACACATGAAAAGCGGCAGCTCGAGTTATCACTATCAACTTTCGGCGCTGCCTGTTGACATAAAGTGAATCACGCCCACGCGTGATCGTCTTGTCACATCTAATGAATAATGTATCTCATTGAGTTCACATATATTGCAGTGAAAACGACGCTATATAATTGACAATCTGAAGGCAACCTCTTCATATCTTCTTTCCCACTACCACACCACACACGAAAATGGAAGCCTATTAATTGGTAATACGTAATCTAGAATTGAGATTATGTACAACATTCTTCACTACAATTTTACATTTTGGCAGCAAACCAAATATGATCAAATGCAATTTTACCTTACCAAATATTTGGTAGTGCCAAAACTTGCTTATATTTTGGCATTAACAAAATATTTGTACGGTAACATTCCAAATATGCCTAAAAAATAATAAAATTGTATTTTACCAATCTTGGAGATTTTAATCTTGTATAGTTTTCAATATAAAAAGATTTGATAACTATTGATATTTATATAAAAAAATATAGAGCACAGTACAAAATCGCCCTCCCCCAGGGCGGCAAGGGGGCCGCCTGCAAAATTCCATGCCCCCTCGCCGCCCATTTGCAGGCGGGCCCCCGCACAGTGCAAAATCGCCCTCGCGGAGGGCGGCAAGGGGGCCGCCTGCAAATTTCCATGCCCCCCCTCGCCGCCCATTTGCAGGCGGCCCCCCGCACAGTACAAAATCGCCCTCGCGGAGGGCGGCAAGGGGGCCGCCTGCAAATTTCGTTGACGGCCGTCGCCCGAGAGCGAACGGCCGTCTGCCACGTCATTTTCGCCGCCCTCTGGGAGGGCGATTTTTAAAAATCGCCCTCCCAGAGGGCGGTAGGCGACTATTTCCGTCAATTTTCAAAATGGAAAATTATTTTTGTAAAACTTTTAATAAAAAAAATTATAAATAAAAAAAATTCCTGAATATGCTGTGTTGTGCGATGGATGATCTCACTCACACCAATGTCCCAACGGATGGATGTATTAATGGATGGACATGGAAATAGAAAACAAAAGTTGTATTGTAGGAGTATACAATACAATACAATTAGGAAGGAATACATCCTGGCAGTGAGGAGGGAGATGAAATGAAACTAGCTTGAAAGAGGTAGTAGTAGCTAGCATTTGACTCGAGTATAATTAATTAGCAGAGTGAATTTATTATGAGGTGTTACATAAAGAAGCAACAAGTCTGGTTATCCATGTGCAAAGTGTGGTACGGTGTGGATGAATCATCCAGCCGTCCGTCCGCACTTGAACTGAGCTGCTCTGCTCTGCTCGGCGGCCTGATTTGCATCTTCCAAATTGCTCGATCTGCTCGCCGCCGCGCGCCCTGGCTTGCACTGCAGTTGAATTGATCTCTGGTGTTCATCAGTGTGTGTATTGACGATGGATGTAGCCAACGATCCATCATCAAGAAGGCGCTAGCTACTGGAGTATGTACAGAAGAAGCAAACTGATGGAGCAAGGATCGATGTGCTAGTAATTAATTTGTACAAGCGCAGGCAGGCAGGCAGGCACACCAGGATGGATCGTGTCTCGATCTGCCTTTGACAAAAGCAAGCTCTCATATGTACACAAGCAAAGGCAAACGCCGGGTTGGGTTAGCAGGACGCCGGCACCAGCGGCGGTTTCATCTCATCCTCTGCTTCGTCGTCTTCATCCTCTTCCGCGTCCCACAGGAAACTCGCGTACGATCCAAGCACGTAGCTGCACGCACGCACGCACGCATCAAATCCAACCGTTTCGTTAATTGTTTGATTCTCTGTCTTTAATCAATCAATCAGCAAATTTAGTAGTAATAATTAGTACCAGTCATCGGGCGCGGCCTGGACGGCGCGCTCCAGGTAGGCGGCGGCGCGGTCCTTGTCCTGACTCGTCTCCCACAGCAGCTGGCCGTAGAGGCTGAGCAGGTCGCCGTCGTCGGGGGAGGCCAGCAGCGCCCTGGCGTAGCACTCCTCCGCGCCGCCCAGGTCGCCCTCCACCTCCTGCAGGTACCTCCCGTAGTTGCGCAGCACCAGCGGGTTCTCCGGCTCCACCCTCAGAACCCGCCGGTAGTACTCCCCCATGTCCATGTGCCCGCCGCCGCCTCCGCCGCGCCCGGACGTCTTGTCGTCGTCGTCGTTGCCCTTGCCGCGCCCGGCGCCGTCCACCACCACGACCACGTCCTCCTCCAGGATGTCGCGGAGGAGGAGGGGCAGCGGCGATGATGCCGTCGCGGGCGCGGATCTGGCGATGTCGGCGTCGGAGGTGGCGCGGCGGAGGCTCTGCTGCTGCTGCTGATGATGATGATGCATGCTGCGCGGGGAGACGCACAAGGCTGTGGGGGAGCGGCGGAGGCGTGGGGAGAGGGAGGCGGAGCGCGTCAGCCGTGTGCCGGTGGCTTCCATGGATGGATTTGGATCTACTTACTTGTCGATCGCTGAGGCTGAGCTTGAGCTTGAGCTCGCCGGCGGGGTGAGTGAGTTTTATAGAGGAGAAGAAGCAGGTGACGGCGAGATTGACGGCGTGAGGCAGTCGGCTGGGGGAGCACGTGAAGCGGCCGTCCCGTAGTACACGCGGCCGTCCCATGCCCTCGGTTTTGTTGGCCTCCGCTGCTGGTTTCTTTCTACTCCACACTGGAGTACCACCTTTCTCCAAGTCTCCATCCAGCCAAATGCACTTGCTGCTGCTGCTGCTTGTAATCACTGCATCTAGCCAATTGTATGTAATGTATTTCTTTCCTTGTTTTTTTCTTGTTTCTTGCTAATGAAATAATTCATCCTCTCCGTGGACGCATAAACTTTAACAGTTTTATGTTTTTTTCTTTTTGGTTAAAAATACAAAGACATATACTATATAGTTATACATTTTAATGGATATATCTAACACGGTCTCATAACATATTAATTGGAGTATTAAAACATGTTACTCCCATCCTTCTTCAATAGTAATAGACATTTTGACCGTACGTAACATGTCATGTGGAACAATGCAACAATTTAGCTCAAAATTTAGGATCAATTTGCCCTTGTCAATTGTTAGGCAATTCAATTAATGAACTAAATAAAGTGGAGGTGCAGGAAAGGGCTGAACCAAAATATAAGTATGGGGCAAAATTGCAATTTTTATTAATGAAAGCATGTTCACGATAAGTATATATTTTGAAACAATTAATTAATGGTCTGGTTAAATTGTCAATTATTCAACAACGAAGGAGTTATAAATAGGATATATATATACACACACACACACAGATATCACTTGGGTATATACATTTGCTCCCCCTCCATCTTTCTTAATTTTTCCATGGGTATGGCAAACATTCAACTTTTACACATTACAGACAGTAACATAAGCCACTACTAGTCTAGCCCTTTTAATTTTGCTTTTATTTACAAAGTAGTATCTCTTTTTCCTTTTTAATTTGACGTTTCGTTAGTTTAGTTTTGAATTAACCAAACGCCAAGTTAAAAAAGAAAAATAGATACTACCTTGCATTGGAAATTTAATTTTCTTTCATAAAACACAACACATATATAATTGGCTCGAGAAGGCGACAAGTGATTAAGTTAATTATGGATGCAAAGGTGTATGCATGGACGGACCAGGGCGCTTGTAATTGCGGCGCACATGCAAAGCACCCATCCATCGAAATGTCCAAACCTATCGGCATCCGCATGATGATCATGATCGAAGCTCTCCTGGGTCATTTCGATCTCGTATGCCCTTGCCCCCCTCCCCCCCCCCCCTTCTCTCTCCCTCCCCGGAAATGCTACTGGGCAAGCGATCGGTTCCCCCCTCCCTCCCTCCCTCTCCCTCTCTCCACCTGGTTTACTTTTTTGGCACCGCATTACTTTTCTATTTTAGTAAATTTATGCACCTAAAGTTTATACACCTCAAGTTTACACATCTAAAATTTAGAGACCAAAAGTTTATAAGTCAAAAGTTTATATATCCGATTCAAATTTGAATTTGAATTCAAATACTTTTTATATATAGTATTTCTATACATCTAAAGTATATACACCTAAAGTTTATACACCCGATTCAAATTTGAATTTGAATTCAAATAATTCAAATATTTTCTATATATAGTTGTTAACAGTGAAATTTGGTAAGCCCAAAGTTACCATCGATTTAGAGTCAGTATCGGCTTCAAAGTTCTAGAATCAGCCGATGGGAGTCAAGTCGCCACGATGTCGTGTTCTTGGTGGAGTCGGATCAATCAAAGGAAGCTTATCTAGAAGAGTTCGAGTTCAAGAAGGATGCGACATAACAATTATCTATTAATTAGGCATAGTTTATTAGTTTCCTTTTATCTTAGGAAAGTGTGTTTAGTGTCCGATAAGGACTTTATCTTTTCATTTTTAGTTTCTTTCTTGTCCGACAAGGACTAGTATCTCCCTATGGGTATAAATATGTACAGCCGGGGTCTATGTAATCTATCAATCTATCGATCAATAATACTCTCGGCGTATCACCACTCTCTTCCCTGAGGTTTTTACTTATCTTCCGGCGGAACTTGGGCACCTGACGCAGGGCTGCATCGGCTTTCGATTTCCAGCGAAGGGGTAAGTCCTACGTTCTGTCGGGCCCTGGTGAATCTGTCGGCTACGTTGGTGTTGTTCAAGGCTGCATCGATTCGATCTCTTGGATCGCTCTGGTTTTATTGATATATTTGCCTACCTAATATCTCAATTCTATCTCTAATTGCATTGTGATTAGAGACGCATCGGTTTAGTTGGGACTGTCTCGATTAGGTCTGATCTCCTGTCTTAGCCGATATATCTCTACAATCATAATGCTGTTCTAAATAGATTTGTTATATCCATCACATTAGATAGATCTATCAGCTCATCGAGTATTAGATTATCATATACAATCTCGTGCTGCATCGGTTAGGTTCGATCTACTAGATTGTTGTTGATAATATAAGTCTTGTTAAGCCGATAGATTCATGCTAATGTTTTATCGGGGTGCTAGCTGATAAGTTATCTGGACGTTGCATCGGCTTGTAGGGATTGCATATACATATAAGTTGGATTTAGCCAATGGCAACAAAGGTTTTACTGTTTAATCTAATCTTGTGGATCTTATGACATCGGACCTCCAGCCGATGTGTGCTTTAACCTTTGGATCAATACTTGTTCTACTATTTCATATTGTTAGCCGATTGGTTTCTACTAGATTATATTACTATATTATATTATCATCAGCCGATTGTCTTTATATCATTATCTACATTGGACATATAGCCGATTGCTTAAACCCTATCGCTATCGGCTAGTATCGGTATCGGCTATCGGCTGGAACTACTCCATCGGCTTGTTAGCCGATCGGCTGTTTGATCTATTATTTGCAAATCTTGTCAGTTGCAGGATTAAACTGACTGGCACGCCCGCATCTCATCAACCTTTGGACCTGCACAGAAGCTAAGCAGATCTCCCAGGCCGGTGTGTTCGATTTTTTCGTCAACAATAGTATTTCTATACATCTAAAGTTTATAGATCCAAAGTTTATAAGTCAAAAGTTTACGTACCCGATTCAAATTTGAATTTGAATTCAAATTTTTTATACATAAATTTTTCTAACTTTTTTGTTTTTTTAAAATTTTTTGTGGTGTACTATAATAGGAAAAGAAGGGGAGGAGGAAGGGGAGAAAGGAGGGGGGACCGATCGCTTAAGCGAGCGATCGCCCATCAGGCGCCCCCTCCCTCCCTCCCTCTCCCTCTTTTTAAACGTTACTATAATGTATTTTATATTTGAGATGATGGGTATTATCATATTTAATTTAAAGTAAATTATTTTGATGGTATATAAATATGTTAGGTAGGTTTAATTTAATTAATATATCAATTTATAAAACTATCATTTTGGTGTATGAGTTTGTAAGGTACATACTCCGTACGAACTAAGGTAAAAAAGACACAACACAACAACTTTTATCAAGTTAGACGTGGGTTTAGAACATGACGTACACACGTGAAATGGACATAAGACTGAGACATGCTATATTTATAAACTTGATTTTCTGTTTCATTATTCTTTGTTCTATCTCAATGTTTTTATATTTTCTCCATGCAATCCTTAGGCTTTATAGAACTTTTTACTGAACAGACGCAAGCCTATGTGGCATTCTTGTCACTAAGGTTGTTTGGTTAGTATACCCACATTACCAAAGCTTGCCATACTTAATTTAGCTAACATGTCTAACATGTGGCCAATAAATTCGAAGCCACATTTCAGCCATAGGAGAACAAACTTGCCACACTTTTACGTGCCAATGACATGTGGGACCCACATCATGATGAAGGAATCTTGCCATAAGTGTGGCATGAACCAAACAGATGTCTAACTTAGTCGAACTTGGCTAACCTAAGTTGTGGCATGGTGAGACAAACTGTGGTAGTGAACCAAACAACCCCTAACACCATCACTCAACTCCTGGTTACAAATTTAGACATAGTGCTACATGTTCGTAGCTCGGATTTGATTATGTAGTAAAATAATCAACATTTAAATTAGGAGGATTAGGTTTATTAATATTCTGTGGCCTTAGTTTGCACAGAGGCATAATAAGTTCGAATAGTAAAACGAATATTTTACAAATTCATATACTAGCTACGTACAAGCTGTTGGTCTGGCTAATTAACCTCGTAACTTTTTCACTAACACCTGAAGAGTACTAATTTTCCCATGCAAACCTAATAAATTTTGTGTAAATAACCTTACTAAAATATCAAGCAATGATAAGAGTAAAATTGTTGGCTCTACTTATATTTTTTTTCTTTTTTCTGATTACGACCTTTATATCGTAATCTCGTAATTTTTTTCCACTCTATCAATATAACTTTGCACATTTATTAAGAAAAACAATTTACTCTTTAATTTACGTGAATGGATGGCATCAAGACAAACGGGACCTGGCTAGCTAGTAGGAATAGCTAGCAAGCTCAGCTCACAGTGTATATGAAGCACGGCGTGAGTGAAGATGACAAACCAGCTGCTGCTCCGTTATTGTTATCTCTTCATTATTTAATTACGAATACTTCTCCGTCCTTGTTTGTTTCCAGGAAGAAAATAATAATTGAAATGAAATGAAAAGGGATAAACATTGGACTTTAGAAGATGCGAATGCGACGACACTGGGTGTGCAGAGACAAGCGAAGCCAGTACTGCAGCTGAGTGTGCCGTACAGCCAAGCAGCAGGTCAGTTCTGTGGATATGTTTTTCTATAATTTAAAGCTGCATGTACGACACGTACATTACCAACGTGTTGCACACCTGTGCATCTCTAAATCCTTCCTTACTTCCTTTGGTCATCTGCATAGTATAAGAGCTACTAGCACTACCTCTGTGGAGTTATTAAGTAAATTTCTAGCACTGATAAGCCGCTGATAACTTGCATGTTCTCAATTAAATGATGGAAAGTTGAACGGTGATTTACACGGGCGTTCCAAATAATAACAATTTAATTTTTCCACTTAATTAGTAAGAAAATC